GGTACTATCCCGAAATCACCTGTGAAAACTATTGACATTTCGCACACTACTGAGGACGAAGGCACAAAGTAGTCGCTAGCATAAACAATCTAGCGGGTCACACGTGAATGTCTCACCCTAAATCACGGCACCACACCTAAACTGTCCCTACTGGTGAGATGGTTCTTAAAAAAGGTGAATTAGCATGGACGATTAAATGCACATGAAAGGAATAATACCTTTAGGCGCAAGGATCTGTGTTCCTCCAATGAACGTTTAGACTCCTCAACAGTCTCGGGGTTCTGCTTACGGTCCAGGAAGCAGTAAAGCTGGCCAAACTTGTCGGACATATCGTGTGCGAACATAAAAAAGTCCTCCAGGCAACAACGAATTTGGATCCACTCGCTGTGACTGTAGGGGAGGCTCCCCTGAAATTAAAAAGATCGAACCATTATCATGGGGGCAAAAATGAAGGTGTTTTCAATGAGAAATATCTTCTTGTTCCTAATAATTCAACAATCTTCAACTCATACAGTTCGGATAATTACCCCCACACCACCGTTACCGCACTTTGATGCCTGTGTACTACGGTCAGGTTTAGTGAAATTCTGTCCAGACCCAATGATTTTGTTTCAAAAGGAGGATGAACGACTCGAAGTTTTCTATGACCACCGGGCTATGTTAGAAGATGCAGATATTTTGAGTCTAACGCTGTTACAGGCGGGTTTCGGGTGAGGTCTCGTGCGTGGCCGGCCTGAACGGGCGATGGCAGTCGACGCAACGCAGGGATGGGTGTGGTAAAATTCTACTTAAAACACACCCTCGTGCCTCGTGCTGTATGATGTCATTGGGTGGCACGTGAAGTAGCTCAAGTTTGGCCGAGAGCCCGTGCTAGGTGGTTCAGTGAGAAGCTGCGACGTTTTATGCGGCTAAAGCGTGGCCTTAGGTCTGCCGAGCCAGTCAATATGAGGGTGTAGTTGAAAATAAGTAAACGAGCAGAACCCACAGTCCCGCCCATTTTTTTGCAGAAACACAACCCAGAATGCAAAACGATAGGGGGAACAAATGCACGCTTGTAAATAGTAGCCTTTACGGGTAATTTGGATTCCACCACAGAGTCATGGGTAACTTCGAGAAATTTAATTAAGTACAAACAGCACTGGTCGGGGTGACAGTATCGTTCGTAACCAGCAACTTAGCCTTCAGCTAATTGAAACTGGCTGACATGAATTGCAGGATAACCCTGATTATGATAGATAGGCGCTCACTGATCGGTTCCGGAACTCACTCTTCCCGTTGGGCCTTGGAGCTCGCTCTCTAGCCCAACCTGCAGCCGCTCAACGGCTGGCATATACTATAGGCAGAAATACATTACCGAAAAAGACGAGGGATAATAGATTAGCCGTTTCTGGCCTATTAGCCGTCATCAGCCAGCCATACACAACTCGATCTCAGAGTTTTTAACCCACGACCTCGTTAGTTGGAAGTTTAAAGCTCTGACGCTGAGTTTAAAGGCATTTATAATGGTT